ATAATTGTTAAATGAAAGAGTATTGTACTATGAGAACTGTTTTTGAAAATATATAGTTTTCTTGGTTGTTAGACACCTTGGCTTTCAGTGTTTTCATATATCTTTCCCTGTTCTGAAAAAGAATTTGTAGTGATGTATTATGATACAGAGTATTTTTTTTTAAAAATTGTGATATAAATTAAGACTTGATAAAAATATAAGATAGGAAATGTTTAGTAGTCTGGCAGTTAAATTAATCTTAGGCAATTAATATTGGCATAACAATCATGGGCTTTGGGCAGGAGGAAACTTGAATTGCACACTCATAATTTCAAAGGAAAGGAAGTCATAAATTTCTCAGGGAAATCCAGTTTTTCTCCGCATTGAGAATTATTACTCAAATCCATAGAGAGAACGTGGAGTACTCACATGATCTTCAACGTTTTAACTCGTGTGTTTGAATCCAGCCACAAGTTTACGTATGTCCTCTCCCTCGTGAGCCTCGCTCCAGAAGTTTCTTAACATGATCTCAGGGTCACTTGCTGAATGAGTCTCAGTAGCAGTGTCTGCATAACTGTGATGCTCCAGCAGTCTTTTGAAAATAAACCTTTGGGGAGAACATCCCCCACCATGCAGTTTTCTTTTTCTCTTCATTTCCTCTCACCTCCCCTCAGGTCTTTTGCTGGTCAGGCAACCCCAACAGGGTTTCTTACCAGTTCAAGGGCAGTCTCCTTGTTAGTTGATACAGTCTTTCCATGCCCTGTAGGAACTCAGGGTTCAGTGTTAGGTCGACTCATTCATTAACCCTTGGGTTCCTTTGTGGTTCTATCAGTTTTTGAATTTTTGCAGCTTTTGAGTACCCGTTACATTATTGGTACTATGTCCATCTGAGACTTTTTTTTTTTTTTTTTTTTTTGCAGAGTGTGGGGATCTTAAGTTTCCCAACCAAGGGATTGATCCCACACCCCCTGCAATGGAAACACAGTCTTAACCACTGAACCACTAGGAAAGTGCTTCTAACAATTTAATTTTACAGTAACCACTAGAACCACAGTGTCCATTAGTAGCAACTCCAATTCACTTCCCTTCTACCCACTTTACTTGCCCCTTCCTTATCCCTAAATAACTATTATTCTATTTTCTGTTTCTATGGATTTGCCTGTCTAGATGTTTCATATAAACAGAATAACGCCATTTGTGGTCTTTCATGACTAATTTCTTTGATTTAGCGTGTTTTTGAGGTTCATTCACGTTGTAATATGGATCAATAGTTTTCATTCCTTTTTATGGTTAAACAATATTCCATTGTAGGAGTATACAACATTTAGTTTATCATCAGCTGTCAGACACTTGGACTTGTTTATTCTCTCTGTCAATAGTGCTGTATACATCTGCATTCAAGTTTTTGTGTGGACCTAGATTTTCAGCTTTCTTTAGTTAGGTATATACATAGGAGTAGAATTGCTGGGTCATATGGTAACTTTATGTTTAACTTTTCAGAAACAGCCAAACTATTTTCCAAAGGGGCTTCACCATCTTAATATTCCCATTAACAATGTTTTGGCATTTTTCCTTTCTTTTCATCCTTTTCAGCTCTTTTAACTAATTTTCATGGGTGTGGATTTGCTGTCTCATTATGGTTTTAAGTTACATTTATTTAATTATTGATTTTGAGCAATTTTATATGTGCTTACTGGCCATTCACATGTTTTCTTTGGAGAAAAGTTTATTGAAGTCCTTTGCACATTTTTTTTTTGCACACTTTTTAATTGAGCAATTTTTCTTACTGTTTTTTAGTTGTAAAGTTTCTGTATATATTATAACTAGGACATCTTATATGACTTACAAATATTTTCTCCCAGTCTGTGGGTTGTCTTTTCATTTTCTTAATGATGTCCTTTAAAGCACAAAAGTTTTTAAGTTTTGGTGGGTTTTGTTTTTGGCCGTGCCACATAGTAAAAGCAGGGATTCCTAACCATTGGATCACCAGAAGAAAAAAGTGAAAGTAGAAAGTGTTAGTTGCTCAGTCATGTCTGACTCTTTGCGACCCCTTGGTATGTCCATGGAACTCTCCAGGCCAGAATACTGGAGTGGGTAGTCTTTCCCTTCTCCAGGGGATCTTCCCAACTCAGGGATCGAACCGAAGTCTCCTACACTGCAGGCATATTCTTTACCATCTGAGCTACCAGGGAGTAATTCCTCAAAAGTTTTAAATTTTGATGCAGTTCAACTTACCTATTTCTTCTTTTCCCACTTATACTTTTGTCATATAGAATGCAAGGTCATGAAAATGTATTACTACATATTCTTATAAGAGTTTTGTAGTGTTAGCTCTTATACTTAAGTAAGTATATTATCTATCTTGAATTAGTTTTTTATACAGAGTAAGGTAGAAGTCTAAATTCACCCTTTTGTATGTGGACATTTCACTTTCAGCACCATTTACTGAAGAGACTTATTTTTTCATCAAATTGTCTTGGAACTCTTGTCAAAAATCAGTTGACCAGGGACTTCCATGAGTCCTATGGTTGGGACTCTATGCTTTCATTGCTGAGAGCCTGGGTTCGATCCCTGGCCTGGGAACTGGGATCCCATGGGCTAACAAACAAGCAAATAAATTGACCATAAATGTAAGGGTTTATTTCTGGCCTCTCAAATTCTGTTCCATTGATCTTTGCCTACCATTATGGAAGTACCACACCAAAATTACTGTACTTTTAAAGTTTCTGGGAAATTCAAAATACTTTGTTCTTTTTCAAGAAAGTTTGGCTGTTCTTGGTCATTTGTAATTCCATATATGTTTTAGCTTCAGTTTTGTTGGTGTCTGGGGGGAGAAAAAGAATATGATAGCTATTGCATCAAATCTATGCAATTTAGAGTATTGACATTTTAATTTTAAAAATTAAATTGTTTATGAACATGGACTGTCTTTCCATTTATTTAGATGAGTTCTATTTTTTTAACAGTGTTTCATAGTTTTTAGTGTGCAAGTCTTGCTCTTCCTTTGTCACATTTTTTTGTAATATTTTGTTCTTTTAATGCTATTGTGAATGATTGCTTTTCCTTATTTCATTTTTGGGTTGTTCATTGTAGTGTATGTATGTATGTAAAAGTCGATCAGTCGTGTCCAACTCTTTGCGACCCCATGGACTGTAGAGACTATGGAATTCTCCAGGCCAGAATACTGCAGTGGGTAGCCTTTCCCTTCTCCAGGGCGTCTTCCCAACCCAGGGATCGAACCCAGGTCTCCCATATTGCAGGTGGATTCTTTACCAATTGAGCCACAAGGGAAGACCTATTGTTGTATACAGAAATGTAATTGATTTATTTTGTGCATCGATCTTATATTTGTAACCTTGCTGCTTTGAGTGAATGCTGCTGTGTGGGGGGAAGCATTGAGCTAGGAGTTGAGAAATCTGGGTAGTTCTTTGGTTTTGTGAAGAGCTAACTGGCTGACCTTTGGGAAATTATTTAACTCTTAGTTTCCGTTTCTACCTCTGTGAAAACAAGCAGGTGTGGCTGAACAACGGCTAAAGTCCCTCTCAGCCCTGAAGATCAGCATTCCTTCTTGCTCTCACAGTTACACATAGATTGACTTTTGGTCTCTAGACACTCTCCTTGGAGAGAGTTGTAAAAATCTCTCCAAGTAACTCAGATATGCAGATGAGTTGAGAATTAACTGTTTTAGAGACTTAGATTATGGACAGCTTGATGTCAAGTAGTATTTTCAGGCTTCCATATTTTAGAGATGATGAAATGGAAGAATGGTGATGGAAATAGCAAGAGTGAGAATAATAACAAAACAGCAAATTACTGCATTTTAATGTTTGTGGAGTAATTAGATACATTAAATCATTGATGCTGAAAAACAATTCTGTGAAACTAGGATGTGTTTTCATTCCCATTTAAGAAATGATAAAATTGGAGTTCAGAGAAATTAAGTGACTTGTTCAAGGTTACTGTGCTAATAATAAAATGGAAGCTAGGATTGGATTCACCATCTGGTATCATTCCTGTTAACCCACCAGTTAGGACTATGTAGGATAGATAATCTCAAAAATGTTTAGTCCCTTTGATTATGTTTACTTGTCTTTGAAGTGGGATAATTACCTACTTAGAATGATTTGTGTTAACAATCTAAAGCTGTGGATCTTTATTGCTCTTTTAAGCTAATGACTTAAAAAAAATCCCTATGCATATATGAGTATTGAGTAACTAATTGTGAAAAACAGATTGTTATGGGACATGGTGAAACTAATTTCATGATATGGTAATCACTCGAGTTACTGCATAAAGAATGATTAGTTATTCATGTGGCTTGTGTTTCTTGGAGGTAATTGTTGCAGATACACTAACGGACCCACCATCAGTTCCCCCTCATGTTATTGGTGGTTCATGTAATTTGTTATGCATCCCTTCCAGTTTCCTTGTCCCCTCCCCCAATACACACTTTTTTTTTTTCAGTTAGGTTGGAAGAAATAACTCATGGGTGCTATAGTACCTTGCTGTCATATTGTTCTGTACTTAATTGTGTTGTGCACTTGCTTGTCTACAGGGATAGAACAGTGTGTTCTTTGGAGCAATCGTTTTGTATACCTTTTGGTCTCTGTGGCTGTGCTTTCTGTTATTCCTTTGTGTTCATGACTTTCCTTGCCTTAGTATTCCTAGTAACTAGCCAGTTAATCATCAATGAGCTGGGCTTTGGAAGTGGTGCTTTGTGGTTGAGTGGCTGCAGAAGTTTCCTTCTCTCCTTCCTTCACTTAAGAATCTCGGATAGAACCGGATCTTTGGGGACACCCTGCATTTAACTCCGCATTAACCCTTCTGTCTTTCCAACTTTGGGCTTTTGTAGAAATGGGGGACAGAATAGCTGTGGTATACTTACCTGCCTTGGGAGAGAGAACTGAGAATTCTAAGAAAGGTCACCTTGAGAAAGTGTTTCTTTAAGTAACTGTTGTTTTTAGAGTAAATATTAGACATTGTCTATTTCTATTGGTTCATTGTGCTTTCTCTCCCTTTAGCCCCCCAGGTTCGCCCAATAGTCTTGGCTACTTCCCTACAGCTGCTAATCTTAGCGGTGTCCCTCCACAGCCTGGCACGGTGGTCAGAATGCAGGGCCTGGCCTACAATACTGGAGTTAAGGAAATTCTTAACTTCTTCCAAGGTTACCAGGTCAGTACCTTGAAGAAGAAAATTACTCAGTGCCCTTCTTACTTAAGCTGATGTGCCTAAAGAATGCAGCCAGGAATATTCTCTGAAACTCATGTGTACAAGTGCTTTTCAACAGATTTGCTTTATGAAGAACCAGAGTCAGGGGGACTCGTTATCTGAGTGCTTACTTCACACTCATCCCTTTGGAAGGATTAGGGCTCTTCCATGCTATTTTAATTGCTTCCACTTAATCTTAGGGGCTTTTCTTTTTCTCTCTTTCAGTTGGGCTACTTTGAGAAAGCTCTTTATGCGCACAGTGGTGTAGGTCTTTCCATCTAGAATAAGATAGGCTAAGAAGGAATTTTCTTCAAATTCAAATTGTTGGCTAATGAAAAAATACGGAATTGGAGTATTTAAAAAGTAGTCTGACTCCTTTCTGCCTGATATGGAAGAAACAAGGATGACTCAGTGAATCTTTAGATGGTAACTCTTTTGAAAAGCTGTAGGAAGTGTGTCTTTTATGATAACTCTAATGAAACTGAGTTTTACTCTTTTCCATTTTCCTAACACTACCTGTGTCCATCACTTGTTCTTTGACTTTTGGTAGGAGCTCCTTAAAAGCAAGCAGTCTTCTGTTTCTCATCTCACCTGAGAGGATACTTTTCCTTCCTTGAATCACGTGGTTAGACCCAAACTCCTTCTTCCCTACAATGTCTAGAAATTAGTATCTTGCAGTCTTTTACTTGCACTAAAAGCAAAAACGGTCTTTCCTCTTGGAGCTGAGCCTTGCTTGAGTCATTAGAGTCGAGAAGCATCTCTTCTCGGCCTTTTGGCTGAGATCAAGTGTAGAGTTGAGAAGCAGTTGTAGGCCTCACCATCAAGTCCTAAAGCATTAACTGTACCACACGTTAAGTGTTTCGCCCGCAGGCACAGTTGCACTCGCACTCTTAGAATAGGTTTACAAGGTTGGTATCCATGAGCTATGGAGTCGCAAAGAGTTGGACACAACTTGGCGACTGAACAACAAATCCATAAACCGCGGAGGATTGTGGAGCTCAGCTAAAGCAATGTCAGTTGGGATGCCCCAAACCTACCAAGTTACCATCATGGGATATTTTTTGACAATTGAAGAACATCTATGTCTGATAAGTGAAAGACTGAAATTGGACAAAAGTTACGTTTTGCTACTGCTTGGCTTAGCCCATTCTCTGCAGACATAAGCTATTTTTCAGAGATCAGCAGATACTTCGCTTCTTCCCTAAACAATTGCCACCTGTTGGAATCCCTTCGAGTGGTAAAAAGTTACTTCCCAAACTTCATATCTGATTCACTAGATTGCGAAGAGAGAATTTTACCAAAGGCTATTGAGAAGATAAAATCACATGGAGAATCCATTTGAGTTTTGTGTTTTTCTCCCATGATTTTCCAGTTGTTTTGACTAATTTTTATTATATTCAAACTGAATAGCATTAAGTGATCATACATATAAACCGTATGTGAGTAAACAAAACTGCTCTTCTTACAGGTATTTATTAAACCACAAACACATAATAGCAGTTATTTCTAGATTTATGGCTAAAAGATTTACAGGCTTCAAAATTAAGATGAACTACTACTGATTGAAGTTATTTTATCTTCTAGTAGCTTCTAGGGTATTATTCAGTGTTGGAGCAGACCTAGTATAATGAGAAGCAAAAAGATTCTGCAAAACTATTTTGTCTCAAGGCATTTGCCTTCATTTCTGAAGTGCTTGGAATTTATAAACTGGATTAATAAATTAGGATTACATAGGAACCTCAGTGATCTAATTCAGCATATCAAATATTATTGAATAGTTTTAAGGTAGTTAAAATGCATACATTCAAAATCTTTTGTATATAACCTAATTTCATGTCACTCTTACATAAAAGTTTATATTTTCTGCTGTCTTTAAGAGTCCTTGCCTTATTTATTTTTGCCTGTTCTCAGATGTTTTAGTAATGGCCACTAACCATGAAGCTCTAGATTCTTTTAGATACAGCTTTGTCACAAGATAAAAAAAAAATCAATGGATGACTTAAAAAAAAAAAAATTGTTCTGAGGTGTAATCTTTGTGATCTTTATATATGGGGCCTTTATTGCTGTTGCTTATTTATTAGGAGGTTTTCATTTAATTTCTGGTTACTTATAATTTATCCTACATAATTATATAATTTATGTAGGTAATAATACCAAATCCTTGGTAATAATTTTTTGAATGAATGAATAAAATCTCTTTATGGTTACTGATTCTGTCTTTTAAAACATACATATATATATATAAAATAATGGCATATGTCATTTTTATAAATGTTACTTTTAATTTTTAAATGTATGGGTCCCCTTTCCTCAGCAAAATTCTTTCTATAAAACTACTCCCATTTAATTTTTCCATATTTGATTTGGGGTTGAAGGGCCTGGAAAGGGCTGATTTACAAAAAGAGAAGAATTGTGATACTAAACCAAGATGTAGGATATAGGTTCTGCTATCAAATCTGCATTTTTGTAAATTAACCTGAGGCCCATTTTGATAAATGAAATTAATAGAATGAGAATTGAATTTATGAAGGCAAACTACTATAAAAATATTTAGTGATGAGGATGTCATTCTGGTCGTGGAAATAAATCTTTGTCTTTATTTTAGTTGATGAACCTCTTACTCTGAAATGGGCTCTTAGGTATCCTTATATTAGTCCTTTGACTTTTTCATTTGCTCTTTGCATTAACCTTTGCTGTCAGTGGCTTTGCATTTTCAATAGTGCTAATTTTTTTTTCTCCTCCAAGTACCGACTTTAATCATTATCTCTTTGGGCCTCTCGCTGCTCTTAACTTGCTGCACTGCTGAGAGAACTAGATTGATATTACAATCTAGTTGTAATATTGTAATATCAACTAGATTGATATTACAAATATAGCTAATGTTTGTGGTGTCATGGAAACTGAATTGTTTGGCGATGTTGTAGTACACTCTTCTCTTTCTATCTCTGCATGTTCATCTAACTTCTCGCTTAGAAGAGATTTTTATGGTATTTAGACATGTTAAGTAAGAAACGATGATTTGAGATTCGCAGTTTCATATATGGCTACTATCAGCATTAACTTGTTTCCTGTGGTTTTAATGTCCTGTATATAATTCAGTTGGTAGAACTATTCAGTTGAAATACTAACCATCTGTAGTGATAGTTTGCCCATCTTTTGATCCTGTTTGTTTTAACTTGCATTTTAGTATGCAACCGAGGATGGACTTGTACACACAAGTGACCAGGCCAGGACTCTATCCAAAGAATGGGTTTGTATTTAAGGGCCCCAGCAGTTAGATCATCCTCAGAAAAGAAGGTAAGGCTCTATGCTGTGGAAGTTAAATTATAAAGGGCCTAACAAATAGAGATCAAGAATCTCAGTGTTTTTTAGGTCAGGTGGGACTTCCCTTCCCTTTGTGTGATATAAAAATGACAGAAATCTTGGAAGGAGTGGAGACTGAAATTAAGATTGTCATCTAAGTATAGTATCTAAGCAATATATATATGGAAATGGTTGTATGTTACTTTGGCGTAAGGGAAAACTTTTCCATTTGGAAATTATTTGCAATATCATGCAGAATACAGGCTGGGTATGTTTTCTTTCTTTTTTTCTTTTTGAGTTAGAATCACATAAATCATTTTAAAGTATACAGTTAAATGATATTTAGTGTATTTGCAATATTGTGCGACCACTATTTCTATCTAGTTCCAAAACATTTTTATCAACTCCGAAAGAAAATCCCATACCCATTAAGCAGTAGCTCCCAGTTTTCCCTCCCAATAGACCCAGGCAACCAATCTGCTTCATTTCACATGTTTTTGAGGTTTATCCATGTTATAGTATGTATCAGTACTTCATTCCTTTTTTTGTGACTGATTAATATTCCATTGTATCAAGTCAGAATTAATATTTTGACTCAATGGACATGAGTTTGAGTGAGCTGTAGGAGTTGGTGATGGACAGGGAAGCCTGGCATGCTGTAGTCCATGGGGTCGCAAAAAGTCAGACATGACTGAGTGACTGAACTAAATATTCCATTGTATGGCTATGTGAGATTTTTTTTTCCCCTATATATCTATTGATGGTCTTGTGGGCTGTTTCCACCTTCTGGGTATTGTAAATAGGGCTGATGTGAATAATTATGTACAAATATTTGAATATTTTAAATTATTTTGGGTGTATATTTAGGAATAGAAACACTGAGTCATATGGTAACTCTATTAAGTTGGTTATACTTTTTTTTCCTAGTTTCTCTTTTCTAAAATTGTGGTAAAATAATATATAACATAAGATTTTAATCATTTTTTAAGTGTACAGTTCATGGCATTAAGTACATCCACATTGTTTGCAGCCATCACCACCATCTAGCTCCTGAACTTTTTACCTTCTCATGGTGAAACTTTAAATAACATTAAACAATCTCCTATCCCTCTTTCCCCAGCCCCCGGGAAACCATTATTCTCTTTTATGTTTCTGTGCATTTCACTATTGTAGTTATCTTATAAATGGAATAACACAGTATTTGTTCTTCCGTGGCTGACTTATTTCACTTAACCTAATGTTTTTTAAAGTTCATCTGGGTATACTTTTATTTTTTTATTTTTATTTTTTTCATTTATTTTTATTAGTTGGAGGCTAATTCCTTTACAACATTGCAGTGGTTTTTGTCATACATTGACATGAATTAGCCATGGATTTACATGTATTCCCCATCCCGGTCCCCCCTCCCACCTCCCTCTCCACCCGATCCCTCTGGGTCTTCCCAGTGCACCAGGCCCGAGCACTTGTCACATGCATCCAACCTGGGCTGGTGATCTGTTTCACCCTAGATACTATACATGTTTCGATGCTGTTCTCTTGAAACATCCCACCCTCGTGGGTATACTTTTAAATATGCTTCATTCCAAAATGACTGTAAGGTTTTTATTGTGTGTCTTTCTCCTCTTCTAAAACTAAACCTAGAGGAAAAGGATTCTGATAGCTTTTTGAATAATTTTTTTTCCCTACTAATTGATAACCTTCCCCTAAAGAATATTAACATTGTGTATGAATCTCCTCAAAAGAGCTAGTTATAAGGACATGGTCGGGAATTAGTGTTTCTTATTTCTTTCTCTCTCTTTTTTTTTTTTTTTTAATTGGGTTGCTGAAATTGGTTTGTTGGCATGTCATTTTCAAATTTTGGTAACCATTTTCATGGCCAACAACTTTGTGGGCTTCAATCACATGGATTCTAAATTAGAAAAGAGGTTGTCATTGCAATGTTGTCTTTGAGAAAATGACAGTTGGGGGTCTTGGTCTATCATTCTGAAGTTGTAGAAGCCCCAGTTTTGGGTTGGAAGTGTTGATTCTCTGCCATTTTCAGTGAGGTTTCAAGATGCTGTCAAAGGGCATCATGCCCACATCCATGGTAATGTGAATGGAGAATTTTCTAGTCCACAGACTAGTCCGCTGTGCACTTTCTTGTGCACGGTGATGAAGGCACTTCAGATGTTCTTTGTTCAGCTCCTTGATGCTGCCTATAAACTTGACAAGCATACTGTGCACATAGTAAAATATGTGTTTTGAATAAGGAATGTCTAGAATTGGGAATTCCCTGGTCGTCTAATGGTTAGGAGTTGGCACTTTCACTGCCAGGACCCGAGTTTGATCCCTGGTCAGGGAGCTAGATCCCAGAAGCCTCATGACCAGAAAAAAACTAACTAGAAGTGGGACGTTTTGAAATATCCTAAATTGACTGACCATTACTCAGTACCTCTAATTCTATCTTAACATTTGTATATTTGGGGTCATGGTAGGATAATAAATCAGGTCCTTTGTTAAAATCCAGGCTTTTGCATTTAACATAAGATTAATCTGCCTTTATATTGAGGATTTTTAAAAACTCACATGGAGTACTGTATAAAATACTTGGCATAAGTTATCTCATTCAATTATATCAACAACCTTGGGAAGTAAGAATCATAAAAGTATTTGTGCTCTTTGTAAAGAATTTGAAACATATAGACAGTTACAGGAAATCAGTAATCATCCCACCATCTAGAAATAGCTACAGTGAATGGTTCTTTTCAACTTCTTTTTTTATATGCCCTCTAGGAATTTTGAACCTTTTTCTTTCCCCTTAACCTTTTACTGTGACTGTATATTTGTATATTTTCCTCCTCATCCACATGTGTATTAAATTCATTATCATTAGTCACCTTTGACACCAATAGAGTGGCTTGTGCTCTGAGAGCACTTTTATATCTGCAGTCTCATTGGAGTTTCAGCACAGCCCTGTGAGTCCTCAGGACATGTACCTTGGCTCCATTTGTCAGAGGAGATGAAATCCAGAGGGATTAGACAATTTTCACAAGTCACACAACTAGTGACCAGGCTGATCAAAGACCCATAGCTTCCAGCTTCACTCTTGGTGTTCTTTCCTTTGGGCAAATGAGAGCACAGCAGTAAGTGTTTGAACTGAACAGTGACCCAGAATGTCTACATCCTGATTCCTGAAACCCGTGTCTTTTGCCTTACTACCTACAAAAAGATGTAAAATTAAGGATCTCGAGAGGAGGAGTTTATTTTGGATTACCTGGGTGGCTCCTAAGCACGATTATAAGAAAGAGATCAGGCAGACACATAAGAGAGGAGGTGAGGTGGAGGTATGACTACGAGAGATTGCCATCAGGTGGATGCAAGGCAAGGAACACCTGTAGCCGCCAACACTTGGAAAAGGCCAAAAGTAGATTTTTTCCTGCACCCTACCCTCTGGAGGGTGTGCGGCCTGGCTGACACCTTCATTTTTGACCCCTGGCCTCCAGAATTGTTAAGAATAAATTTCCCATTGTTTTAAGTAACTAGGTTGTAGTGATTTGTTACAGTAGCCACAGGAAGCTAATATGTTGCTCTAAAAATTCACTGAAAGAACAATGTCACTGCTGGTTATAGAATCAGGTAAAGGTAACCACAGCCCATGGTGAGGTCTGGTAAAGAAGTCACACTGTCTGTCTTTTCCTGTAGCCTTGTCCCCTCAAAGGAGCCTATATTTGCAGACTGCCCCCCAAAAGATAATGCCTGATTTTTTTGGTCATAAGAAACCCCTAAGGACAGCTCACAGGCTATTAAAGGTGCCCAAGGGGCCCTTCAGAGGAGGAGGTTGTGATGACTGGCTGGGAAAATGCTTCCTCACATGGCCAGAGTTCCTGTCGCCTCAATTTTCACTGTGAGCTCCAAGTCTCCTACTCTTAGGATCTCAAAGGGCGGGGTCAGCTCATAAATTTAAATTTGTCAAGTGCTTCCTAACTGTATTTACAACTGTCTTTTGTATACATAAGGAGATGGTAATCCTTTAGAGGGGACACTTCCCTTCTCTGTAGAAGGTGAGGGAAAAAGTAACTTCTACATATGAAACATTTTTGGGTGTTAAGAATCAGGTGGATTAATGAGTATAAAGTCACACAAGCTAAAGTTCTTTCTGTATACAAGTAACTATTTTGTTGCTATGATCACAGTAATCATTACAGGAGCAGACCACTCTCTGCATTCCAGACTTATTCAGGTTTCACCAGTGTTTTCTTTTCCTATCCCAGGACCCAGTCTCAGATTTCATATCTAGTTGGTCTGTCTCCTCGATGCCCTCTCTGTTAGTTTCTCAGCCTTTGCTTGTTTGCTTGCCCTTGACAGTTCTGCTTTATACTGTTCTTAATGTCTTGTGTGCTGTCCTTTAGTTGGATTTGCTTAATTTTTTTCTTGTGGTTAAACTAGAGTAGTAGGTGTTAAGAAAGAGTACATGGAGGTGAAGAGCCTCTCTCATGAAGTTTCGTGACATATATTATCTGTTGTGTTTGTACCCACGTGACCTCCTTGGTGGTATCAATTTTGATCTCTTGGTAAATGGCTTCATCCATTCAGGCTGCCTTAACACAATTCTGTGGACTTGGCTGGCTTATAAACGACGAACATTTACTCTCAAAGGGTTCTGAAAGCTGGAAAGTCCAAGATTAAGTGTTTCTAGTTTCCTTGTGCGTGTGTGTGTGTGAAAAGGTTTGTCTGTATACTAGGTATTTTTGGAAGCTCTTGTAATCTATTAAGCCTGGTATTGTCCCAGCACCTAAGTTTTATGGAAAACAAAACAAATCTCCATGTAGCTCTCATTTGAATGGGTGCTTCTTTTCTCTTTTTGGCTGCACTGGGTCTCTGTTGCCGTACTCGGGCTTTCTCTGGTTGCCGTGATTAGAGGCTCCTTACCAGTTGTGCTGCTCACACTTCTCATTTCGGTGGCTTCTTCCGTGCTGAGCA